CAGCACCGCAGGCTTCCCTGTCCTCCACCACCTCCCAGAGCTTGTTCAAACTCATGTCCATTGCGTCAGGGATGCTGTCTAACCATCTCATCTTCTGCTACCCTCTTCCCCTCCTTCCCTCCATCTTTCCCAACATCAGGGTCTTTTCCAATAAGTCAGCTCTTCCTATCAGGTAGCCAAATTATTGGAGCTTCAGCTTAAGCATCAGTCCTTCTAATGAATATGCAGAGTTGATTTCCTTTAGGATTGATACTGATTTCATCTCCTTGCAGTCCACCAGGTTTAGGCCCCATCCTCAATTTATGGTGATCTCATTTTGAGATACTTAAATGTATAATACCAGCAAAGATCTTTTTTCCAAATAAGATTATATTCATGGGTTCTGGGAGGACATGTCTTTTGCAGGGTAGGTGGGAGCATAATTCAACCTATTACAATTAGAAAAGCAGTATATCAACTTTATACGGGCTTCCCCTGTGGCTCAGGGTTAAAGAATCCATCTGCTAATGCAGAAGATGCAGGTTTGATCCCTGGGTCTGGAAGATCCCCTGGAGGAGGAAATGGCAATCCATACCAGTATTCTTGTCTGGGAAATCCCACAGTCAGAATGGACTACAGTCCATGGGGTCACAGAGTTGAACATGACTGAACAACTAAACAACAACAACAAATATAAACTTTATACAGTCCAACCTGAACAACACAAAAATATTTATATACATACATATGTGTGTGTGTGTATATATATATATATATATATATGTGTGTATACCTGTAATAGGATCTTAGAAGGGAACAGGGGAACCAAAATGAGCATGAAAAACCCCCAAACCACCCCCAGATACAATTTCAAAGGGAATGAAGGAACCTGCAGCCCAACACCTGTGCCTCTTAGCAAGGAGGGATTTTTTAAGCATCAGAGAGAGGCCTTGTGGAGGAGACTGGTGGCGAGGTCTCTTTGGAGAGAAGGGTGGCCTTGCTACGGGCACCCATGATTGGGTGAGGGGAGAGAGGATGCTGGTTCCCAGCCCAGAGCCCAGGGAGAGGATCAAGCTGAGGCCGGAGGCGAAGAGAAGGAACCAGACTTCGGGCTGGGTCCAATTGCCCCCAAGAGGTGGAGAGAACAAGAGAAGAGCTGACCAAAGGCTTTGGAGGTAGGGTCAGGGAAGGGCTGCCCTGGGGGTCATCCTGCCCTGCAGGGTTGATAGGGACAAACAATGTGTGGGTGTTTCCTGGGGCCTAATGGAGACTAAGCGGGGAAGCAGGGGCTGCCGCAACAACTCCACACACGAGTGGCTTCACACAGCTGAGGTTTACTTGCTCACAGTCTGCAAGCGTCTGCAGGGCGGTTCCCTCTGCAGGCTCTGAAGGGGACTCTGTCCATCCTCCCTCTCACCTCCTGGACTCTGGCAATCCTTGGCGATCCTTGGCGATCCTTGGGGACGGATCGCTGCACTCCCTGCTGCATCGCCACATGGCCGTCTCCCCTCTGTCTCTTGTTTTCTCTTCCTATAAGGACATCGGGCACTGGACTAGGACTGTTACTGGGTAGAAGCTCAGCCTGCTTGCCGCAAGATAAGTCAGTGAATCCAAGACGAGGTGCTGGGGTCAGGAAAGACTTTATTCAGGAGCCGACTATCAAGAAGATGGCAGGCTAGCGCCTCAAAATAACCGTCTTGTAGGGGGCCTGGTTGCCAGATTCTTTTATGGATTAGAGATGGGGGGAGGTGAGGAAACAAAGTAAAAAGACTATTCAATTCTTCCAAATGTCCCCTAGAGAATGGCAGGCCTCAAGCAAGGGATGTGTTAGTTTCACTTCCTTACCGTCCTTCACAGGTGGGCTCAGGTTATCTCCCTGAGGCAGGCCATTATGTATGTTTATAATAACAAAAAAGGGTTAAAATCACAGAAGCTCAGTTCAGTCGCTCAGTCGTGTCCGACTCTTGGCGACCCCATGGACCACAACACCCCAGGCCTCCCTATCCATCACCAACTCACGGAGTCTACTCAAACTCATCTCCATTGAATCGATGATGCCATCCAACCATCTCATCCTCTGTCATCCCCTTTTCCTCTAGCCTTCAATCTTTCCCAGCACAAGGGTCTTTTCCAATGAGTCAGCTCTTCGCATCAGGTGGCCAAAGTATTGGAGCTTCAGCTTCAACATCAGTCCTTCCAATGAACACCCAGGACTGATCTCGTTTAGGATAGACTGGTTTGATCTCCTTGCAGTCCAAGGGACTCTCAAGAGTCTTCTCCAATACCACAGTTCAAAAGTATCAATTCTTCTGCGCTCAGCTTTATTTGTATATATACAAAAACTGATCCATCATAAATTCAAAATTAACCCTTCCTGGTTACAAGAGACCACCCTAACCCTGAACATTCATAGGAAGGACTGATGCAGAAGCTGAAGCTCTAGTACTTTGAAGAGCCAACTCATTTGAAAAGACCCTAATGCTGGGAAAGATTGAGGGCAGGAGGAGAAGGGGGAGACAGAGGATGAGATGGTTAGATAGCATAACAGACACAATGCTAAGAATGTTTGAGCTAATTCTCAGAGACAGCAAAGGACAGTGAAGCCTGGCATGATGCAGTTGGTTGTGTCGCAAAGAGCTGGACATGACTTAGCAATTGAACAACAACAAATCCAGCATGACTTTATCTTAGCTGTTTACGTCTGCAAAGACCTTGTGTCAGAGTAGAATCCATTCTGAGGTTCTGGGTGGACATGTGGAAGAAATCGTGGGAGACACGATTTCAACCCAGTACAGCTGGCTCAGGGCTCATTTGGTTCCTTCTCTAAGTCTGTGAGTCTGTTTCTGTTTTGTAAGTTTGTTTGCATCATTTCTTTTAGATTCCCTATATAAGGGATGTCATACAGTATTTCTCCTCTGTCTGACTTACTTCACTCAGCATGACAATCTCTAGATCCATCTATGTTGCTGCAAATGGCATTATTTCATTCTTGTTTTGTTTTTTAACGTGATACTTCTTTTAACAAAGCTATGCACTTTCTTGAAAATGTGAGTTGTGCTACCGCAAAAGCTGTTTTAAAGCAGAGTGTGCATAGATTGGAATGGGAGGCAGGAACCACACCATCTGAGCCACCACTGTTGAACTGGGTGGCGTCCCAGCATGTTCAGGCCCGACAGGAGACAAAGGAGAGCGAACGCAAACCCTCACAACACAGCAGAGCAGAGAAAATAGGAAGGAAAGGGGACAGCAGGCGGCCTGCAGCCGCTGCCGGCCGTGCACAGCCCTGCCTTTGAAGAAGCAGCAACAGCCCGTGAGCAGCTTCTGTCCACAGGGCGACACACGTTTCCCAGTTTAACTGTGACCTAGTTACGGGGCCCGGGCAACAACGCCAAACCAGTCCCAGCTGGTGGCCCCAGAGCTGTGCTTAGCAAATTCTGCCACCTAGTGCTTCGGGGAGCCTAGAGAGATGGCTTGTTTTTCTTTCCTTTCTCCTCTGCTTTATTCGGGCTTCCCTGTGGCTCAGCGGGTAAAGAATCTGCCCCCAGTGCGGGAGACCTGGGTTTGATCCCTGGGTTGGGAAGATCTCCTGGAGAGAGGAAAGGCTGCCCACTCCAGTATTCTGGCCTGGGGAATTCCATGGACTGTATAGTCCATGGGGCTGCAGAGTCGGACACAACTGAGCAACTGCTTTATTCACCAAACCATGACCTCCCCAGCACGCTGTGTGTGTGTGTGTGTGTGTACGCACGCACTCAGTCGTGTCCAACTCTTTGTGAAGCCATGGACTGTAGCCCACCATGAGATTTCTCAGGCAAGAATACTGGAGTGGGTTGCCATTTCCTTTTCCAGGGGATCTTCCTGACCCAGGAGTCGAAATTATGTATCCTGAGATTGCCAAGAAAACTCCAGAACTCTTGCCTAGAAAATTCCATGGACAGAGGGGCCTGGAGGGCTACAGTCCAAGGGGCTGCAAAGTCGGACACAACTGAGCGACCGAGTTGACACACACAACTATGATTTAGTTAAGATCTCGAGATGGAGGTATCCTGAAATATCTGATTTCACAACATGTATGGAAGTGGCACAATGATATTTTGACTGACAGATTGGTCTTGTACAGGGTTCCCTCAGAAGTCAGAGCTGGGAGGGAGGCTACTGGTGGCCACATCCCTCCACCCACGGTTGAGGACAGGGCCATGCCAAAGGAAAGCCACGAGGTCACTTTGTTCTCAGAAACAGCCTTGGCGAGAGAGCGGAGCACGTGGGTCACACACTCAGCCCCCATCTTTCATGAAGTCCCCATCACTGAGCCAGAGCCCTCTTGCCCACTGGGCAAAATGAGCTTTCTGCCAACGCAGGAATCACCAAGAAAGCCAAGGGACTGAGGTCTTTGTCCCCCAAGCCGCTTACTTAGAAACGGGACCCAGTTTGGTGCCGTTCCTGGAGCCAGGCTTCTTTGCAACCAGCGTGCTGCAGTTTTAAACAAACACCACAGCTGAAATGTTCAGTCCTTGCCTAGCAGTAGTCACGGACCCTGAGACAGGAGTCTGTCAGGTTGTGTCTCCAGCACCAGAAACACTCTGATTTGTGCCGTCAGCATGCACGTGGGAATGGTTCCAGCCATCCCCAGCTTGAGCACAGCCACACGCGCTAGCTCAGCCCAGGTGGTCGCCAAACGCCGCCTTTCTTTGGGGGTCAACAGGCCCATGGGAAGAGACACATACTGAGCGAACTGTCCTCATGACGTTAGCTTCTCCTCTAAACACATGATGATAGATAGTGTTAGCTGCTCAGTCATGTCCCACCCTTTGTGACCCCATGAACTGTAGCCCGCCAGGCTCCTCTGTCCATGGGATTCTCCAGGCAGGCAAAAGTACTAGAGTGGGTGCCATTCCCGTCTCCAGGGGATCTTCCCGACCCAGGGATCAAACCTGGTTCTCTCGCACTGCAGGCAGAATCTTTACCATCTGAGCCACCAGGTAAGAAAATACAGATAGTTACTTAAAAAAAAAAAAAAGCAATGAAAGGAAAAGTAAGCCATTTATTAGGGACTGAAATCGATCAAAAGAAAATTACACAACTCATAAGGTATTTCTTCATTGGAGCTTCTATTTCTTCCAATGCATTTTGCTGTTAAAAGAGAGAAGAAGGGGAGGGTTAGACCCTGTGGCACACATTTCACACTCTTAGGGAGACACAGGACACAGCATTCCTGGGCGCTGTTTGAAAAGGAATCCAAGATGGCACCAGTGACTAGAGAAACCATGCAAAGCAGCCAGTTCCCTGAACCAAAAAAAAGGTGGGGGGAGGGGGGTGAGAGACACCTGCAGGGAGAAGAGGAGGTCATGGAGTCCATGGAACAGAAATACAGACCCAGGAAGGAAGGTCAAGTCTCAGAGAGGGAAGGGTCCCCGAGGAAAGGCTGCAACCAGATCCTGGACTCAGTCTGAACTAAGGAGGTGCTGGTGATGGGAGAGGGAGGGAACCAATCAAGTCAGGTCAGCAGTAGACTGGCAGAAGTCATGGCCACGTGAGGACCTGGGTCACCCGAGGGAGGACAGTTCATTCATTCATCTGTCACTCATCCATCAATAAATGTGTATGCACTGAGCATCCACTGAGGGTCGTGGCCAAGAGGAGGGCCAAGGAGGCCACGTCTCAGGAGCCAGAGGATTTCAGGGAAGAAGGGAGTGCTCATCAGCATGAAATTCAGCTGCGAGGTTCAGCAGGAAGCGGATGGACAACGGCCAGATGGAACCAAAGGGTGGATACAGAGCCAATGCTTGAGAGAGATGCTGGGGACAGCAGGTGCAGACACCAGGTGGGAAGGAACAAGAGAGATTACAGGGAAGCTAGGGATAAACTGGGTGGGGAGCCCACTGTACAGTAGATCCTCGTTACTCACAGATTTGCCTCCTGGCTGGTATTTACCTGTAAAGTAGAAGTCTTAATTTCTCAGTTGTGTCTGACTCTTTGAGACCCCATGGACTATAGCCTGCCAGGCTCCTCTGTCCATGGGATTCTCCAGGCAAGAATATTGGAGTGGGTAGCCATTCCCTTCTCCAGGGGATCTTCCCAACCCAGGGATGGAACCCAGGTCTCCTGAGTTACGGGTAGATTCTTTACCTTCTGAGCCACTTTTTGAGTCTTTCTAGAATGTTCAGAGTGAGAAAAATTGCACACATTCCCAAGTGAGCTCATACAAGGCCATTTGCCTGGTTTTGGCTCTCGCGCTGTAAACAAGTGTCCTCTTGGGTCTATTTGGGGCCATGTTTTTTTGTTTATCTGTGTCTTTTGTTTACAGTCCTGAAGTGCTGTCTAGTGCCCTGAGCGTGAGAAGACCGTGTTGTGCCTGCTAGAGAAAATACATCCATGAGATAAGCTTCCTTCAGGCAGGAGTAACAGCGCCATGGCTGTGAGTCCCATGTTAATAAATCAACCATACGTATCAAATAAGACGTCTTTCAACAGAAATACACATGAAAGACGCACACAGATTACTGGACAAAATGTGACCAAAGGCTCATAGGAGCTTAACCCTGCATTTCCCTCAGGAGAGATGGTTCAGCGTTCACTGATTCAGCTTTTGTAGCACACACATCACTACTGCAAGTGGTGGAACGCACTGCGCTTGGTGGGACAGTCAGTAAGCACATGAGGGGACGAGCGTCAAAGCAGAGGCTGAGTAAATCTAGTTTTCCACCTCCAGACACTGGCTGGGCTCTTCCATCTTATGTGGGAGTCTGGATCCCCGATACGTAGGTTATCTTGGGAGATCGTGAGAAGAGGTTATGAATAATAAACCTGACTCCTGAGCGTTGAAATCACCCAGCAGGCTCGCCGCGGTGGCTCAGGTTTTTGGGTCACCCTCCATGCGTGCTTCACCCAGCACATCACAAATATTTCTTAAACAAATGATCCTTGAGGTTTTGTCTCCTCGTGCTATTTTCTGAATGTGGAGGTATTGACATGAGTATCGCAGGAAGAATAGGAGGCACTTTGGAGACAGACACACAGACAGACATCGAGAACTAAATCTCAATTCAGCACCAGCTCTGAGAGGAGGGGCCTCCAAGTCCTGTTTTTTCATCTACAAAATGGAAGTAATAATGATGATACTTCACTTGGACAGTTGCAGGATTTAAATAAGGCTGCATAGGTGGAAAGGTCCAAACACAAACCCAGGCACCCTTGAGAGTTCTGATCATTGGTGTAGGGCCAGGCGCAAAGCAGGCATTTGATGAATATTTGTTGGACAAAAGTCAGGAGACTGATTCTTCTCACCATGCAGTTATTGACAAAAGATCCCACTGATAACTGCCTCCTGTGCTGCTCTTGGCCATATGGGGTAGGTGGTGGTGGTGGTGGGTTAGTCGCTTAGTCATGTCCATCTCTTTACACTCTCACGAATTGTAGCCCACAAGGCTCTTCTGTCCACGGGATTTCCCAGGCAAGAATACTGGAGTGGGTTGCCATTTCCTCCTCCAGGGGGTCTTCCTGAGCCAGGGATTGAACCCAGGACTCTTGCATTGCAGGAGGATTCTTTTACCTCTGAGCTATCAAGGACACCATAGGGTAGGAATTCCACGCTAACCCACATTGCAATCTTAAGGAACGCGCTTCGCTCGCGCAGCCATGGTTTGGGTGCAGGCAGTGTGGTTTGCAGTCTTCAGACTACTGTCTCGTGCAGAAGTCAGAACTAGGCCAACTGTGGTGATCAAGAAAGTGTGAGCCTCTCAAACAGATTCCTTTCAACATGAGACCTGGGACCTGCTTTCCCCCATTCCTATTTCAAAGTAGCAAACAAGAAAAAGAATCTCAGACCTCTTTGTTGAAACACTCTCTTTCACTACCCACTCCTACATATTAAATAAATCTTCTAGCAGTCTGAAAGATCCTAGAACAGTGGTTATTAAATTACAAAAATACTTCCTCAGCTCCTCATTTGTTCCAGAAACTAAGCCAGGCTCCAAGGATTCTGATTCTAGATGAACCAAAGACTCTGCTTCCAGAGACCTTTCCCCACTGGAAGCATGTCATTCACAGTTTGAAGAGTCCTGTATTTGGTCCTGCATTGGTTCATTCCTTTCTTTCAACCTGAGGGAACTCATTGTATTAAAGACATTATTTTGAGCATTAGGAACTAGACAAAGAATATTGTTATTAGTAACAGTACAGACATTATTAATCATATTTTCTTGCTACTAAACTAAATAACAAGGATAACAAGGTAACACATCCTCAAGGAGCTCATGGTCTAACAGGGACAAAAGTAAACATAATAATAACCATAAATCTTTGAAAAGCTGAGCCTGAGGGGTTGAAGGACTGTGTCATCTTCACCCCTCCTAAAGCGGCAGAGAAAGCTCGGAACCAGACTCCAGACACGGTGGACTGGCCTCCTCACTGGGCCCCCCAGGCAGGCCTTATCTTAGGACTCTAGGGATCCTGCCCTGCTGAGGTTCATGGGAGTGCAGGGTTATAACTGGGAGGATAGGCAAGGTCAATGTCCAGGCCCAGACAGCAGCATTTGCCCTTTGGTGTGTATTGCCTGCAAAGAAACATTTCTTAAGTGATCAGTTTCTTTACAGAAATCAGAATCATTATATATATGGCTCTCAGGTGGCACAGTGGTAAGCAATCTGCCCGCCAGTGCAGGAGATGTAAGAGACCCCGGGTTTAATCCCTGGGTCAGGAAGATCCCCAGGAGTAGAAAATGTCAACCCTCTCCAGTATTCTTGCCTGGAGAATCCCATGGACAGAAGAGCCTGGCAGACTACAGTCCATGGGATTGTTCAAAGAATTGGACATAACTGAGTGCATGCACACACACACAGACACACACACACACATATATATATATACATCCAGTATAGTCATTATATATATATAATATATATAATCATTATATATAATATAATAATTATATTATGTAGCATGTAAAATATAATATATAATATAATCTTTATATATATATATATATATCCAGTATAATCATTTATAAGTAACATACAGTCAATCCATTGAGAATTGTATTTTCTCCCCTTGAGAATGTTCTGTAAAGCAAATGATATGATTTAAGTTTATAAAAAAAGGAATCTGATGAGCCTGTTTCTTTGTAATCAGTACTCTCTTGATCTCAGCCTGAAGCTAGTTGTTATTTTTAGGGTGAGCATAGATTCAAAAGAAAATCTACCATTTGCATCTTTCATCCTATTCAGCTTCGCTGGTAAATTTCTCTTCGACTTTAGTTAAAATGTCAGTTGACCTCTTTCAAATTCTGGTGGTTAAAAATTAATCACACTAAGCTCAGCTGACTTTTTTGATAACAGAAGCTCAATATCCAAAATGAAAGATTCTGTCATCCACTCAAAAAAAAAAAAGCACTTTCTGCTGCTTGCTGGGTGCCTGGCTCTCTGTGGAGCCCTGGGAGATGCTGGCAAAAGAAATTATCTCAGCCCTTCCCTGGGGGACCCAGGGGAGTCAGATGAAGCAGAGAGGAAATGGGTAATTGCAGCGCCCTGTCATGGGGACTTCAGTTCAGTTCAGTTGCTCAGTTGTGTCCGACTCTTTGCAAACCCGTGGACTGCAGCACACCATGCTTCTCTGTCCATCACCAACTCCCGGAGGTTACTCAGATTCATGTCCATCGAGTCAGTGGTGCCATCCAACCATCTCATCCTCTGTCATCCCCTTCTCCTTCCACCTTCAAACTTTCCCAGCATCAGGGTCTTTTCCAATGAGTCAGTTCTTCGCATTAGATGGTCAAAGTATTGGAGCTTCAGCTTTAGCATCAGTCCTTCCAATGAACATTCAGGATTGATTTCCTTTAGGATGGACTGGTTGGATCTCCTTGCAGTCCAAGGGACTCTCAAGAGTCTTCTTCAACACCACAGTTCAAAAGCATCAATTCTTTGGCACTCAGCTTTCTTTATAGTCCAACTCTCACATCCATACATGACTACTGGAAAAACCATAGCTTTGACTAGACAGACCTTTGTCAGCAAAGTGATGTGCTGTCTAGGTTGCTTATGAGCAAGCTATGGCTTTTCTTCCAAGGGGCAAACATCTTTTAATTTCATGGCTGCAGTCACCATCTGCAGGGATTTTGGAACCCAAGAAAATAAAGTCTCTCCCTGTTTCCACTGTTTCCCCATCTATTTTCCACGATGTGATGGGGCCGGATGCCATGATCTTTTTTTTTGAATGTTGAGTTTTCAGCCAGCTTTTGCACTCTCCTCTTTCATTTTCATCAAGAGGCTCTTTAGTTCCTCTTCACTTTCTGCCGTAAGGGTGGTGTCATCTGTGTATCTGAGGTTATTGGTATTTCTCCCGGCAATAGGGGAACCCATAAAGGAACATTACTGACTTGGGTAGACCCTTAAGGGGAAGTAACGCTGAGCTGAGCTGAGATGTAAGTGAGGAAGAGGAATTAGCTCGGTGGATGCTCCAGGTAGGTCTTACCTGCTGGTTCAGACGGTAAAGAATCTGCCTGCAATGCATGAGACCCTGCTTCGATCCTTGGGTTGGAAAGATCCCCTGGAGAAGGGAATGACAACTCACTCCAGTATTCTTGCCTGGAGAATCTCATGGACAGGAGCCTGGTGGGCTACAGTCCATGGGGTCACAAAGAGTCGGACATGACTGAGCAACTAACACTTTCACTTCACTTTTTAATGTTCCAGATAGAGATCTCAGCAGGTATTTCAGTGTCACAAGAGCTTCAGGACTGGTGGCCTTGGGAGCAATGAGGCTGGAGAAGTGGGCAAGGGATGTAGCATAAAGGCCATTGCAGGATGCACTAAGAATTTGGACTTTATCCTTAAAGCATACAGTGTTATGTAAACTTAAACATCTGTGTCAGCCCAGGCTTCATGATTAACTTATGTGTGTCTGTGTGTGAGAATGAATGTTCACTGAGTCTATAAGTAAAATTATATCCAAAAATTCCTTTTAAATGTGACTTCACCATGTTCCTTTAGTACTTGTTAGCTTCTCAGTCATGTCCAGCTCTTTGTGTGATGCCACTGACTGAAGCCCAACAGGCTCCTTCAACCGTGGGACTCTCCAGACAAGAATACTGGAGTGGGTTGCCAGGACCTTTTCCACTTGGGAGGCTTTAAAAAGACAAAACTGCCTTTGCTCCAGTCCCGGGTAACTGGGAGTTTAATTAATACATGCCTGAGACTCAGTGGTGCCCATTGTGGGTTTGCAAAACCAGGGCTCAGTCTCCAGCACCAGGGCAAATGGGATGTCCTTCCTCTTGGCTCAGGGTCTGCCTCTACCTTGTCCTATAAGTGAAGGAGTGCATGGAGAAGGGTGAAAATCTCCTCTGCGTTTCCAGATAAACCTGAGGGCCACATGCAAGGTGGACAGTGTGTAATCAGGAGCTGAGGCAAGATGGCGCGATGTGAGTGGTGATGGTGATGCAATGATGGGCTAAAGCCAGAGAAAATATGTGGGCAAAATCAATAGGACCCCTGTGGATGTTGGGAGAAGATGAAGGGTAAAGAAGAGCCAATGACTGTGTAATCTGTGATGGAAAAGAATCTTTAAAAAAAAAAAGACATATATGTATATAACTGAATTACTTTGCTATACATCTGAAAGTATAATATCACACACCATAAACTGATTATACTTCAACAAAAATTTTAAAAAGCAAATGACACTATAAAATTTTGAACAGGAGAAAATTCAGTGGTGGTGATGCCTCTAGTAAGACTGAAGAGGAGGCTATTTGAGTGTCAAGGGCTCAAGGATGCTTACTGCAACTGCATGCAGTGGGCAGCTGATGTAAGAGCCTGGATCTCAGGGTACAGTGAGGTGAGCAATGTGTATTTGGAAAGCAGGCATGTGGAAGAGGTAACAGAAGGAGGGAAGAACTGGGTGAAGGAGATCGCATGAACTGCCATCAGGATTTAAATGACTGATCAAGAAAAGGAAGGCAGATTAGACATCAGAGATTTGAAGGGCTAATATCCACTTGGCAAAAAACCAAAAAGTGAATTGGAGGTGGGCAGGTAACGGCCGCAGCCTTGGACCACAACTTTGTCAAGAAGCTTAGGGCTTTCCCAGTGGCTCAGTGGGTAAAGAATCTGCCCGCAATGCAGGAGACAGAGGAGACATCGTGCAGGTTCCATCCCTGGGTCGGGAAGATCCCCTGGAGAAGAAAATGGCAACCCGCTCCAGTACTCCTGCCTGGGAAATCCCATGGACACCGGAGCCTGGTGGGCTATAGTCCATGGTGGGGGTCGCAAAGAGCCTGATATGACTGAATGACTAAGTACACACACATCATCATCATCAAAAATCTTACCCAACAAGGGAGGAGGGAGAGAAGGAGGCAGCTGTTGGGATGAAGAGGCTGGGTCAAAGGAAAGGGCCGTTCTGTTTGTTTGCTGTTTAATTTTTGCTCTTAAAGTGGAGAAATTTGAACACATTGACATCAGCAAACAAAAGCCACGGGGAAAAGAGTGAAAAAAAGTGAAGAGACAGTTGAGGATCAGGATCCAGGAGGAGAGAAGAGAAGGTGGGAGGTGAGATGGGAGCTGATGAGCGGACTGCAGACATTTGGAGGTGCAGTGGCAACAGCTATAAGGCATTCCTTCCAGTCGCTTCTATTTCCAATTATGCGTGTTTTTAGCCATATTCCCTTACCTTGAGGCTGTCACTCAAAGCCAGGGTTTACTCTTGCTCTGGACCACGGGTTCGAGTACCTTCTATTTCCAAGAGGAAAGTTTCTTCTCATCTCTGAAGACAAAAAGGGAATATACGGGCTCTGTCATTCACATCTAGACCTCAGACAACGCAAGACTGAGTGACTGTGCGTTAATGAGAAGGACTGTGACCAGCACCACCTGAGCCCCTACTGCCAAGAGGCTCCCCAGGAACGCGATGACCTCATCTTCCTTGTCAAAGTTCTCTCACTCTCCTCAGTGGCGTTACAGCTGAATGTGTCTCCGCAAGCCCTCGAGGGCAGGGACTGTCACACTGATCCCTCAGTCCTCCGTGGGATCTGCCCGGGGCCTGTCACACGCATTTGTTGAATTAAATTGAATTGTCGTATTCAAAGCAGTCTCCCAGATGGCTGCACATCCAAGTCAGTGATGGCCCCAAATCCCAAAATGATTTTAGAATTCAGCTCTGGGATTATCTTCCGAGGAATATAAAAAGGATCCATCACATTAATTTATGTCCACATATATATGTATATGTCCCAAATGACATCTTCCCAGTGTGGTAGCCAGCCCCCAAGATGGACACGTGGTGGTATTCACAGTCTTGAGTATTCTCCCACATCGGATCAGGGTCAGTGTGTGTGGTTAGTAAACTATGCAGAAGTGATGCTATATCACTTGCAAAACCAGGAAATAAAAGACTGTGTGTCTTGGATGCTCTCTTGCTTGTTCAGTCCTCTCTCTCCCTCTCTTTCTGATCATGTTCTCTGGCAGAAGTCAGTTTTCACGCGTTGAGGACACTCAGAAAGCCCTGTGGAAAGGCCCGTATGCTGAAAAACCAAAGCCCTCAGTCCAATAGCCCCCAAGAACTGAGCCCTGCCGACCACCACCTGAGTAACCTTGGCAGTGGGTCCCTCAGGCCCAGTCAAGCCTTCAGATGAGGTCTCAGCCATGGTCAATAATTTCCCTGCCACCTTCTAGACACTCTGAGCCAGAAACACCCAGCTAAGCTACTGCTGGGTTCCTGACCCAGAAACTGTCAGACAATAAACATTTGCTGTTTTAAGCTGCTAGGCTGTATGGTCATTTGACATACCTCAATAGATGGACATGAATTTGAGCAAAACTCCAGGAGTTAGTGGAGGACAGAGGAGCCTAGCGTGTTGCAGTCCATGGTATCACAAAGCTGGACACGACTTAGCGACTTAACAACAACAATAGATGACTAATGCACCCAAATTGGTTATTAATCTAATTAACTGAGTTTATTTCCAAAATTACAAGAATTTGTAATTTAATTCCAAATTAAATTCTTTTAATTCCAAAAGAGCACAAGCTTTCCACCACTACAGAGACTCAAAAGAATGGGCCCTAGACTCTGCAGGTAATTCCAAAAACAAGTGTTCAAAACTGTTCTCAGTAGTAGTCACGTTGTTAGAATAACTGTATTTCTTTCAAAATGGCACACCAAAGGAGGTCTAAACTTAGGCACTTCTTGTAAGCAAGCTTCATATTGTGAGCTTTAGTACTTCAGATAAATTGGGAGTAAGCTGAAGGATGGTCAGACATTGAGTTCAATGAAACACAACTGAGCTCACATGCAAAAATGTTTCCTAAGCCTGTGTTATTGTAATAGAGAACTCTGATCAGAGAGTAAACTTCACAATTTTTCTGGAAAGTGGCCTGGAAAAAACAGAAACCAGAGTCTGACAGATCTGTCTCTAGGTCCTGTGTCTGCCACTCCCCACCTGAATCAAAGTTCTACATCAGCCGTGAAGCCTTGAAGAAGCTACAGAAGCTCACTAAGCCTCAGCTTGCTCATCTGCAAAATGGGAAGGAACACAGTGTTCCTGTCAAGATGGTTGTGAAGCTGAAGGAGAAAACTGTCAAACATTTAGTAGAGGGTATTTTGTGTCACAACAAACATCATGAGTTGTTACTCACTTCTTCTGTGTAAATAGATAATACTCCTAGTTTATAGAGCCATCATGATGGTTAAATGAGAAAACCTATTATAAAAGGGAGAAAGTAAGTAACTGATGGCTCTGTCTGCTTGCTGAAAAGTACAGTTGAAGGTGGAGGGTAAAGAGGAACTCATAAGAGCTTGGGATTTTTAGAAAATGTTACAGCCTGGGACAGGAGGGAGATCAGTGCTAATTTTCTCAGCCAGATTTGATGCTTTGAATCCTGATAAATTTCTAATGGTTTCAATGCCTCAAAGTCAGCTTTTCAGTGATATGCAAAACAAGTTTATGCACGACAGTTCTTCTCATTTTCCTTTAAAATATTTTGTATTTCAGGGGTTTATCTCCTGTGACATGGCTTCAGTGCATTCTGGCTTGATCAAAAGAGGATGTGTTGGTATCTGGCAGAAGAAAATGGGACCACTTACCACGTGATCGTTCATAAAGCGGTTCATCTCTGGATCTGTCAGGAGTGAGACCTGTAACACAGTAATAGTCATAAGACAATTATGACTGCCCACTTCTGGAATGTTCTATGGTTTTATTATTGATGCCACAAATACACCTTTCCTGCAAGGAAGCAGTGGAAGATCACCAAGGGGTTTCACAGCATTCAGCTCCAATAGGGAAAATCCTCTCATTTACCTATTTTATCAACAGGTAAAAATGGTTTCTGCTTCCCTGATAGCTCAGTGGTAAAGAATCTGCCTGCAGTGCAAGAGATGCAATGCAAGGAGATCTAAGAGGCTCTGGGTAGATCCCTGGGTCAGGAAGTTCCCCTGGAGGAAGAAATAGCAGCCCACCCCAGTATTCTTGCCTGGAAAATTCCATGGACAGAGTTACCTGGCAGGTTACAGTTCATGGGGTCACAAAGAGTTGGACACGACTGAGCTCACATGCAAAAATGTTTCCTAAGCCAAAGAACACTAACCTGACCCGACTTCAAGTGATAGACTGCTTATCAAGGGGAAACGGAGAGCCCTCCCTCTCCCAAGCAAGATTCTAGAAGGGATGGTCAGCTCTGGTGACCTGGCCGGAGGGTTACAGCCCCAACAAGTCGGATGAGGTCTAGTCCAGATCTTTCCACATATGCACTGTTGCATGTGTGTGCGTGCTCGGTCGTGTCCAACTCTTTGTGACTCCACGTAGTGCAGCCCACCAGGCACCTCTGCCCATGGGATTGTCCAGGTAAGAACACTGGAGTGGGTTGCCTTTTCCTCCTCCAAGGGATCTTCCCAACCCAAGGATTGAACCTGCCTTTCTAGGATCTCCCATGTTGGCAGGCGGATTCTTTACCATGAAGCCACCTGGGAAGCTCATGTGTCATTGCATACCTGAGTCCTAAAACTGATCTTACACCCAGGAAGGAACAAGCATGTTCCAGTTGGGGGACCATCTTAGGGTGAAAACCGCAACTGTCCTGACTAACCGGCAGAGACGTTAGAGCTGTGAAATGGAAATATGTCTGGAAAGTCTCTGCATAAATGAAAACAGTTGCCTAAATGAAGAGTTGTGTCATTTTTGCCTACTGTTAAGAAAGGAGCAAAAAGCAAATGTTTATTGTCCATAAATTCTGTCATTGTACAAAGCTTATATAGAGCTATTTCCTGTTTTAAATGACTCCCTGATAGAGAGCTTCAGTATGAAGTTAATTCACGAAAAAAATATTTAAAAGATCTTAATATTAAAAAGGTCTCAACTTACCAAGCAGGTAACTGTTTCTTGATGTAGAGGATCCCAGGATATCCCCAAAAAACATCTAATTCAGGCATTGGTGTATATCAGCACATGAAAGAGAAAAATGAAAGACACTACAAAATATGCAACTATTAACTGGAAGACTCATACAACTTTTTAATGAAATAAGGCAATAAGCTATATTAGATAACTTTAATTAATGTATGGTTTAGAACGCATTGGTGTTTAGTCACTGAGTCATATCTGACCCTTTGTGACGCCATAAACTGTAGCCTGCCAGGCTCCTCTGTCCATGGGATTTCCCAGGCAAGAACACTGGACTGGGTTGCCATTTCCTTATCCAGGAGGATCTTCCCATCCAGGGGTTGAACCCATGTCTCCTGCACTGACAGTGCTGAGTCTTGACCACACTGGACCACCAGGAAAGTCTGATGAACCACTGGGCTTATGAAGCAAACTCAGGGATAAATATCAAGGCCTGACCCCTCTCCCTAACTTGACTGAACTCTACCCCAGACCTCCTGCATCGGCAGGCAGGTTCTTTACCCTTGAGCCACCAGGGAAGCCATGTGTGTCCAAAAAAGTACATGGGGAAGAATAAATTACATGAAGTTTAAATCATCTAAAAAGATTTCCACTAGACTCAAAATGAGTCCCAGATGTGGATCAGAAAGAAGGAAAGGAAACTTCATTACATGGACTTGCAGACAGACTGTGTTCAGGTCAAATTTGGGAGTTTTCTTTCTATGAAGTCCTCATATGTGTTCAATAGGAAAGTTGTGCATGAGAAGTCTTCATGAAGCCACCAAAAGTCCAGTGAAGTGAAAGTTGCTCTGTTGAGTCTGACTCTTTGCGACCCCATGGACTGTATTCCATGGAATTCTCCAGGCCAGAATGCTGGAATGGGTAGCCTTTCCCTTCTCCAGGGGATCTTCCCAACCCAGGGATCTAACCCAGGTCTCCCACATTGCAGGCGGATTCTTTACCAGCTGAGTCACCAAGAAAGCCCATGAAAGCCCAGAGTCACAAGTAAGGCAGCTGTTTGGCTCAAAACCTTTCTTGCAGGTGTCTGGGCCACCTAAATGTCACCCTCTCCATCCTTAACAGCCAGTAAGCCTGCTGGCCTTTGTCAGCGTGACTGGTCTAGGAGGGGGCACAGTTCAGTGGGGGAAAGAATAACTTTTCAATAAATGGTGCTGAGGCAACTGGATATCCACATGCAAAAGGATGAAGCTGGATCCCTTCCTAATCAAAGCAGGCCATGAATCTCAATGAAAGGCTCAGACAAACAACAAGAGAAAAAATAGATCAACTTGACTTCATTAAACTTTAAAACTTTTGTTCTTCAAAGGGTACCATCAAGAAAGAAAAAAACCTTACAGATGGGAGAAAACATTTGCAATTTTTTTGGAACTTATATACAAAATATATAAAGAACTCTTCCTGCTCAACAACAAGAAGACAAATAACCCAATTTAAAATTGAAAAAGGATTCAAGTAGACATTTCTCCAAAAAAGATATACAAATAGCTGATCATTACTTATTAGTGAAGTGAAGTCGCTCAGTCATGTTCGACTATTTGCAGCCCCATGGACTATAGCCCACCAGGCTCCTCCATCCATGGAACTTTCCAGGCAAGAGTACTGGAGTAGGTGGCCATTTCCTTCTCCAGAGTATTGCTCATTAGGATAATGCAAATCAAAATCTTAATTAGATACCACTTCACATTCATTAAAATGACTCAAATAAAAAGACAGACAATAACAAGTGTTGATAAGGATATACTAAATTGGAACTCTCATATATTGCTGGTGGAAATATAACATGGTATAACTATTATGGAAAACTACTTGGCAGTTTCTCAAAAATTAACACATAAAGTTAGTTTATGCTCCAGAAATTCCACTTGTAGGTGAATATCCGAGATAGATAAAAATACATGCCCGCACAAAAACTTGTACATGAATGCTCACAGCATCATTATTTAAAACAGCCAAAAAGTAGAAACAACCCCAATTTTGATCAACTAATGAATGGATAAATCAAATGTGGTTTATCCATACAATGGATTGTTATTCCACCACATAAAAAGTATTGATACATTCTACAACATGTATGAACCTCCAAACATGCTGAGATAAATCAGTCGCAAAAGAAAACATATTGTATGCTTCTATTCATATTAAATGGCCAGAAAAGTAGCTTCATAGACAAAGAAAATACCAATAGATTAGTGGTTACTGAGTGTTGGAAAGAATGGGGTAAGAGAAAGGGGTATTGGAGTTTCTTTGGGGGATGATAAAATGTTCAGGATTTAGATAGCAGTGACAGTTGTACAACATTTGAATATACTCAAAACCACTGGGTGAATTGTACACATTAAATGGGTGAATTGTATGGTCTGTGAATTATATTTCAGTAGCAGCATTGTTTCTTTTTAATGAGACACATGACCCAAGCCAGGCCAATGGTAGGGATGCCGAGAGGTTAGAGAGAAAGGCTCAGTCTGGAGGATATGAATCTGGGGTGGCTTGTAGTCTTGCCTCCTGCTGCAAGGAGAAAAGTCGTGAGCAGTAAGAGGAGGGGAGGAGGAAAAGATGAATGTGGCATCGGTAGCGTTGACGGCCCCTAAGCTGAGTCATCCGCAAGCACAGCTCCTCCCACTCGCTCTGGGGACGTGAGTCAAGGCATTCCCTCGTTTTGGCTTGGGCCACGTCTAGGTGAAGTCCTATCGTTTGGAATCGTTTTGGCTTGGGCCACTTCTAGGTGAAGTCCTATCGTTTGGAATGGAAAAGAGTAAACAAAGGAAATACTTGTAACTCGCCTCCCCCGAGTTCAGAATTCCTGTTCGTTCTTTCTCAGTTTCTCCTTCTGGACTGTTTTGGGTCTCAAGGCTGAACTCTTTCAAACTTCATCCTACCCACTCTAAAGCAGAAAGATTTGCCCAAAGTCAAGTCCATTCACCAAGCTACAGATGTCAGCATTGCAGTCGTGTGGCTGACTGATGTGCCATATAGAAATTGTTTACCCTCTACATACTTCTCTTACAAATTTAAAAAACATAAAAATACATAAAATACATTTAAGTATAGAAATAGTATTAAAATATTTTAAAATAATTAAAACTACCCATAATTTAAATATCTATTTTAAATATTAAAAATATATCAATAATATAAAATATACTTAATTATTAAAATATTTTATAAAATACTAAAACTGTAAAAATCATTAAAACTACCCATAATTTAAATATTTATTTGGTTAAGAAAGAATATTTTCAATTTTAGAAATTTATTTCTTCAAACCTTTTAACAAAGCTTTTGAACCTATTATAATTATGTGGTGAAAAACCCAAGTTTTCTATATTAGAGACACTTTCTTTTACTTTATTCTTGTCAGATATTTTCCATTTGAGCTAAGTCTTATTTTATAATAATTGGGACTTTTTGGTCTTATTCTCTATTTTTGGCTTCCATCTTTCTTTACATTATATTCCTTTCTCTGGAAATTCTTTTACTATCTACAAATGTTTTTCAAGTGGTCTTTATATTCATTACTCTGAGGGTTTTTTTTTTTTTCAGTTTTCTTTTATTCCCTACTTCCAACAATGATTTATTTGTTCTTTGTCTAAATTCATCCCATTCCATTGTCTTTCACGTTTGTAGTACCACCATTTATTTCACTGAAAATGGTTAACAGCTGTCATCTAATTTTTCTTCCTGTTTCATATAAGAAATCTATTTTAGAGTTTCCAGGAATTACTTTAAACCTCCATCTGCTTTCTCCTCTTTCTTTCAATATGCAGAATCATTTAATTTAAGGAATTTTTTATTTGCTCATACTTTTTTACCGTTTCCTAATCTCTGGGGGAAAGCAACCTGGGAGTTTATTTTAAAAACTGTTTGTTTCAGGGACTAACTTTCTATCAGAGTCTTCACACAAAAGTTGGGGTTGGAAGAAAAGTGAGTAGCTTTCAGTCTGCGATGAGAAAATTGCAGCAGGTTTGTGGACTGTGCAAGCAATCAGAATCAACTTCCCAAATCGTAGATGGAAGAGGGCTTAAACTGGGGCCCACTTGTCAATTTCTACTGTGTTAAAGGTCACGGGAGAACCGGCATCCCTGTCTCGGGACATTCGCCGCTAACTCCCAGCTCTCCTTAGCATCCGCTCTCAGCTGCCCTGCCAGCCTCCCACTGCTTCGTTCTTACCTAGCTCCAATCTGCTCTCCATATCTGTCACCTCCCTACTTAGAATTCTCGAGTAGCCCCAAGCCAAGGATCCTGACAAGACGCACGAGGTCCGCCTTGGCCAGGCTCGGGTCCTCTCCAGCCCCACCTCCTGCCCCTCTTCTCACATTCTGCTCCCAGTTACAGTGGATTTCTGTCCGTTTCCACCCGTCAGCTTAGCTTCTCTCACCCTCAGGAACTCCATCGTGCTCTCCCTGGGCGTGAAATCTCTCCCTCCCGCCCCTCCGCACCCATGCACTTCATCCTGAGGTCACCCACTCTCCAGTTTCCCTGGAAACCTGCTCTGCCCCACGTGCTCCCATCCTCCCCCGTGTGTCCCAAAAGCCTGCCTGGTAGTCAGGGTGGCCCCAGCTGAACGGACACCCCAGACTGGTCCACAGACTCCACAAGGGCCAGGGCTGTGCTTTCCTTGCTCCTGGCTGTCTCCTGGCTTCCCCCGCATAAACCACAAAGTCAACACAAAACGCTTGTGACATGATGCTTGGTCCTTGCCACTTCCGGCTTAGCTTGGCCCGGCAGGCACCAACGTGTCAGCTGTGAAGCTCACGTCACTTCCTGAATTCTTTACTGGAGTCAAACAGGAGGCCCTGGGTACCTGAACTAGCGTCATGGAGACAGGATGCGGGGAAATCACCCAGAAATCACCTGGAGATTGACCCCCAGACATCACCAGTGAGAACAAGATCGATCAACAAGGTTATACTCAACTGAACATTTTTGCAGAATCCTCCTTATAACACTAAAACCACCCCTGTGGTGTTGGAGAAGACTCTTGAGAGTCCCTTGGACTACAAGGAGATCCAACCAGTCCATCCAAAAGGACATCAGTCCTGAATATTCATTGGAAGGACTGATGCTGAAGCTGAAACTCCAATACCCTGGCCACCTGATGCAAAGAGCTGACTCATTTGAAAAGACCCTGATGCTGGGAAAGGTTGAAGGTGGGTGAAGAGGACGACAGAGGATGAGATGGTTGGATGGCATCACCGACTCGATGGACATGAATTTGAGCAAGCTCCAGGAGCTGCAGGTGAATAGGGGAGACTGGCGTGCTGCAGTCCATGGGGTTGCAAAGAGTCCGACACAACTGAGCGACTGAACTGAACTGAGCAGAAGTTCCTCAGTCATGAGTGTCACTCCTTCCTAACTCTAAAACGGACTTCCATATTAAATATGTAAGGCCCGGGTCTTCCTGGCAGTCCAGTGGCTAAGACTCCATGCTCCCAATGCAGGAGTCATGGGTTCATTCTCTGGTCTGGGAATTAAGATCCCATATGCCAAATGTGAGGCAATAAAAAAATAAATAAACATATGTAGGGCCTGGGTATGTTCGTAATAGAGAAACATTATTTTTATGTGTAATTCTTGAAGCTGAAATTGTTTACTTTTCTCATGTAATTTTCACTACAGATTTAAACCTTGAAAAAATGAATAAAAGTATAAGTAGAGAAAGATGTTGTTCAGATTTGACTTTGTAATGGTAGAAACATCTTTAAATAGCAGAGAAGAATAGATTACCCCATTATGAATAAACAAACATATAACAGTTATGCTTTTATCCCAAGCTAGAGTATAGAGGTTTTCTTCTCATATCATATTCCTCATATCATATTACATGTATCAATGTATCATATTGGTAAAATTTCTTCCTCAGTTTTATTGTATGTGTTTAATTATTGACTTAACTTCTACCCTGTATCAAACATTGTCCTAGACAATAAAACAAGCATTCCCTGCCCTCATGAGATACATACTTCAGTAAGAAATATAATTCCAAGTCAGAATTTTACATGTTACTGATTTCTCAGTATTATTGCAGATATTATCAATGCAATTGAGGGAAAAAGATGTGTCCTGTCATTTACTGAGCATCTGTTATGTGCTAGGCTCTGGACCGTGAACTTACTTGGTTTCCTCAACATCCTATTGGGTGGTCTTTATTACTGGCATTTAACAGATGGAGAAGCCTCAGATCATGGAGATTAAATATCCTGAACTAGATTGCAGAGCTAGTAAATGAACACTCATCTATCAAAAATGCCCCCCTTCATTCCACTAAACCAGAGAGGCAGTGAACTGCAGGCTTAAATCTAGAACTTTTGCTCATTGTTTTCTTAAGCTCATGTTCAAAATCTTATAGAGGTGGGACTGGAAGAAGTAAGGGATAATGAACACGAGTTTGCAGGTTCAGACACATGCCCAGGCACCTAGGTGATGGTCCAGCTACTCTATCACACCTTGAGGGATGCCAAGCCCTTATGCATACCTCTTCACTGCTGCTGGACCCGGAGCTGGAGGGCCAGTGGCAGCGAACCCACACATCCTGCGCGCGCTCAGCAGACATTCGCACGGTGCTTCTGCAAACTGCTATGGGCTGGAAAAAGAGAAACAGTGAGTTCTTTGCCCAGCAGCTCATGTAAATGTTAGGACCTCCCCACGAAATCAGGCAACATCATAGCACTTGGCACAATGGTGCAAACAGAAAGGAAAAATTCAGTCATTTCATTTTTCCAAAACAAAAATGTCTCAAAACCTAAGCAGAAGCAAACGATGACTGAAACATCTCTTGAGCATTTGCTACATTACAAGTCCCCTGGAAAGCAAACATTCCCTTCCTGAGCACTGAGCTGGTTACCTTGCATGGTTTCCCATGAGAACAAGAATTGGGAAGATCCCCAAAGGCCTCTGCTCTGCTCTCACTTGGTCTCAGATTTCCTTCAGATGCTAGCGACACTCAGGTTTGGGGTGTTTGTGAAACAATCACGGCAAAAACTTCCACAGAACAACAAAGCAAAGGGTCTTCTTTTCAGAATTGATATTGCTATGTAGCAAAACAGACGCCTTCACACCAGTAAAATAACAAAACGCTGACACCCTTGGAACAACACCTCGGAGAGTGAGTCTGGGGTGGTGGTGCTGGCCTGTGCAGATGGGCTCCTACGCCTGGGGATAACCAAGCGTGGGGCCGTGTGCTGGTCACCGGAGAAACAGAACTGACCAGGCTATAGTCCTGACCTCCGTGGAGTGCAAGCTGGTGGGGGAGACGGATTTTTGCATGACAGTCAACTACAAAGCATGCACCTCGCCCCAGGAACACAGCTGGCATTTTGAATTCATTTAAGATAGAATGCGAAATGTCTCGGGGATTTTTCTTTGCTATTGGCCCCTTTGTATCCACTTTGCCTGGCACCATTATTATGCCCATTTTAAAGAGCAGAAAACTGAGGCAACAGGGGTTAAATGATTTGCCATGATTATTCAGGATGGCAGACTTCAGAGCTTAAGTCCTTGACCACAGAGTCACACCGCCCCCACCCAGGGAACAGCGTGGACACAGTTAATGGTGCCTAGAAGGGTGGCCGGACACCAGACATGGCCAAGACCTCAGTGTGACTTTGAATAGCTCCGGGTGATGGAGGAAGGCAGAGCTCCCTCGCATTTGTTTCCAGGCTGGTGGCCTTTGCCCCACACTCACCACGTGGTAGCCCCTCTGGAAGTCACAGGTGGCGGGGTCGGCCTCCGATTCCCTCCTGCATGTCGTCTCTTGAATCCTGAACTCTAGGTCCATGGTCAAGCTGTCGTCATCCAGGGCGTTGACCTTCACAAAAACAAAGTGGCAGCTTGCTACAGATGTGTTTCTGAAGGTCATATGCTAGAAATGTTTCTCCCTGCACAAGAAAAAAGGTGCCAGAATCTCCCACCACTAAAGCTTTCAATTGTCACAGCTATCGCTCAGTTCTGCACCCTCATCCTGAAGACCAGGGGAGGAAGCACTCTACGAAGGTTCATAGAACATCACTGAGACCACAGAACCAGGACGTGGGTGTCCTGACTCCAAGCTTCTTCTAATGACTTCCCTTTACCGTGGAGCCTCATTATTTACCAATTCCATACTTGCAAATTTCCTAAAATGTATATTCAACCCCAAGTCAGTCCTGGGTGCTGTCACAGCCGCTCATGGACATACGCTGAGCTGCAAAGAACTTGAGTGGCCCGATGCACACGCTCCTGCCCAGGGACAGACAAGGTGATGCTCTCCTCCTTGTCCTGGCTCCCAAACTGTACGCAAATCATTTTTATGGTCCATTTTGTGGCATGCTTTTCTCATTTTTGTGCTTTTCCTTGGCGACCTTGCTATTGAAATTGGCCCCCAAGCCTACTGCTGACAAGCTGTCTAGTTTCCCAAGTGCAGGAAGGCTGTGATGTGCCTGCCGGAGAAAATACGTGTTAACTGAGCTCTGTTCAGGCCTGAGCTATAGTGCTGTTACAGTGCGTGTGCGTGTGTGTGTGTGTGTGTGTGTGTGAGCACATGCACCTGTGCTCAGTCGTGTCCGACTCGTTGCGATTCCATGGACTGTAGCCCACCAGGCTCCTCTGACCATGGGATTTCCCAGGCAAGAATACTGGAGTGGGTTGCCATTTCCTCCTCCAGGGGATCTTCCTGACTCAGGAGCTGAACCTGCGGCTCTTGCATCTCCTGCATTAGCAGGCAGATTCTTTACCACTGGCGCCACCTGGACAGCCCCTACAGACCACTTACAGAAGAAGAATAAAGGGATGCTTTGCTTTGGTAACAGGCGACAGGCTCCAAGCTTGGGATGGGGCTGGGGGTCCTCATGTCTCTTTCTGACACAGAATGAGGAAGGCTGATACAAGCAGAGTTCTCTGAAAACAAGCAGGACTAAAAACTCAGTCTTGCCATTATTTCCCCCCTTGTTTATTGATAATTTTTAAATACTAGATACTAAATATGAATCTCATTAAACAAGTAAAACCTCATCTATCAGCTGGAGCGCATTGTTCAGGTTCTCTGCCCCCTGCTCCCCCACCCGCCCCCTGCTCCCACCATCGTCCCCTCCTCCGTTATACTTCCGCAATTTTCCTTATAGCAATCTGATGAAAGCAAACTGGCAGGACAAAGGCATAGTTTAAAAGATGCAAATGTGGGGGGTTTGAATACTGACCATTTTGTTGAACTGTGAGATTATTTTGCAACCTTTTTTGCGTCTCTAAGCACAACTCCAGAATATGGAGAAAAGTCTAATAGCTCTGCTTTTTCATTTGAATTCACTTTCAGCCAATTTCTTCTCTGTGTTTTTTGAAAAAGGTAAGACAACCCAAATACTCAACAATAAGAAATCAACTGGAGAAAATCCCAAACCCAGCATTATGGCTGAAATAAAAATGCAGTACTCTATAATCAGTGTTACAGTGTGGTCCTGTTTTTCTTTAAAAATGTATTTTATACCCACATATGAAGAAAAAAAGATCCAAAAAACATCCGGCCACGTGTCTGTAGTGGGTGTCTCAGAGGACTGAATAGTAGATGTTACTTCTAGTTTTTTCCTTCTTGTTGAGTCTTGTGACTCTTTATACTAAGTATATTCTGATTTTTTTATTCTTCAAAAAGAAATAAAAATATATAAGCCATAAAAGGCCCATAACAATTCCTTTGGAGATTATAATGTTTAATGTTATATGTCCACTTAGCTGGGCCACAGCATCCAGATCTGTGGTCAAATATTAGTCTGGATGTTTCTGTGAAGGTGTTTTTGGATGAAATTATAGTGGTGGGCTTTGAGAAAAGCAGATTACTCTTCTTCCTGTGGGTGGGCCTCGTCCATTCAACTGAAGGCCCAAATAGAACAAAGACTGACCTTTTCCTCAGCAGGAAGGAATTCTGCCAGCAGATGGCCTTCAGACTTTACCTGCAGCGTCAGTTCTTCCCTGGGTCCCCAGCCTGCTAGCTCCCCCTGCAGACTTTGGCTGCACCAACCCTCCACAGCAGTGTGGGCCAGTTCTTTAAAATCAATCTCCCTGTCCATCTGTCTCTCTCTCTCTCTCAGTTCTGTTTCTCTGGAGAAGCCCAACTAACACAGAAATCACTTGGGTTTTTCAAACTAAGCCCTTAAGATTGAACAAAGAGTAAATCTCGGGTATAGCTGCCTAGAATAACGTATGAAGACAAAAAGCAAAAAAAATGCAAAGAAAAGGAAAGGTAAAAGTGGACAAGAAGGGGCGCAGACACAGAAAGGGTCCCAAAGCTTCCGTGGCTTTGCCCCGAATGTCCCGGAATCCATCCACTCCCCACCCTCCTGGCGCCAGGAGGCTCAGTGCCACCATCAGTCATTGCCCGCTTCCCACAGTCCCTGTCTGGGCCTCCTCCCTTGCATCCCACTTCAGAGATCTTTGGAGGTCTTCTCTCACTTTATTTAAAGCTGCACCCCTACTCCCTGCAGAGGGGTAGTTCCACTGCTGGAGGTTCTCCTACCTGAGTATAAGCTCAAATATGACGTCTCTGTGGATACGTCTGCCCATCTGACAGCTGCCCCAGCCCAGACCCATCCACCATCCCCCTGTTTTATTTTCTCTACAGGACTCTCCACTCTCTGAGACTTCCTTCACTTTTTTATGTAATTTCACCCCATTCTCCTTCATCACCTTCTTCCCTCCCTGGGATCTTCCCAACCCAAGGATTGAAGCAGGGTCTCATGCATTGCAGGCAGATTCTTTACCACTAGCACCACCTGGGAAGCCCATTATCTACCTCTACAAAGGTTAAATCAAGTGCTGCTGCAGCTGTTGACCTTCAACATGTCTTGAAGGAGTTCAGGGTGGAGAGCAGAAAGGAGGCACTCTGTACTCAGGATAAAACTGGCAGGACATGTCTTCAGAGAGTTAGGTATTCTCAGGAGCTGATTTTATGAGCCCAATTCTTTTATCTCCTGTATCTAGAAAAGCATTAAAATCTTTCATGGTGATGACTGTTTCTCCTGACTAGCAGAAACTTCCTGAGACCAGCAGAAACTTTCTAAAAAGTAAATGTGCTTGGCTGCATGTATTTCCCCTTTACCAAAATCACATATATACTGTCCTTCCCTGCTATCTCTTTAGAGCTTTTTCTCAAAGCTTTCGAGGTACTGTCTCCAGGGCTGCAGTCCTCTTTTTGCCCCAAATAAAACTTAAGTCACAACTGTCACCTTGTGCATCTTTTTAAATCAACACAAGCACAATCTGGTCCAGCCTCTGTCTTCCTCGTCCCCTGCACAGGGTCCATGTCTACCTTGTCTTTCTCTGCTTGTGTCCACTGAGGGAACAGTCTGAATGAGCCTGGTGTTGAGGAGCAAGGAAATCTTCATAACTGAAGTCCTATTTCCCCACATTTCCCCATCCTTTTCTAAACTTGGAGCCCAAGGTATAAGTTATTCAAAATCAACTGCAACAGTATTTAATCCAGGTCTGCTGGGAAAACCCAATGGTTCTTAACCCTGACTACACATCAGAATGACCAGGAAACATGTGAGAATGTGAGCCCCACCCTCAGAGACTGGAACTTAATGAGTCACCCTCCCTTTTGGACGTCAAGTATATTTCTTTCTTTTTTTATTTAGATTCTTTGCCCATATAGGCCATTGCCAAGAGGCATCAGGAATATTTCAGTCTCTCAGGTGATGCTGACGTTTAGGCAGATCAAGAATCACTGGGCTTTCCAGATACTTGTTTTTAAGCCACACCATGTGGCAAGCAGGATTAGTCCCCCCACCAGGGATTGAACCAGTGCCCCAAGCATTGAGGGTGTGGAGTCTTAACCACTGGACCACCAGGGAAAACTCATGAACCACTGGACTTATGAAGCAAACTCAGGGATAAATATCAAGGCCTGACCCCTCTCCCTAAGTCCACTGAACTCTACCCCAAACCTCCCACATATACACAAACATGACAAAACCACTTATTTCCTTTGGACATATTCCTAGAAATGAAACTATGAGATCAAAAGTTATATTTGCTATTTTTAATGTTTAACATGTTTATAAATATGCTTAATGCATATTTCCAAATCGCTTCCCACTTATTTCCTTTGGACGTAGTCCTGGAAATGAAACTATAAGATCAAAACTTATATTTGCTATTTTTAATGCTTAGCGTGTTTATAAACATTCTTAACGCATATTTCCAAGTTGCTTCCCAAAGATAATCTTACCAAATTACCCTCTCTCTGGCAATGTTTGAGATTTCCCTTTTTCTCTTCTCCTTTCTTTTCACCTTGGTATTTTAATCCTGATTTTGTTGACTGTTAGAAAGGTGACATCTTTTCTCCAATGCTTCAGGTGCATTTGTATTCCTTCTTTTGTGAGTTGTTTTGTACCATCAGTGCCAGGGATCCGTTCCTTCATCTCTTTCCTGAGCTCTTTGCTTGACTCTGAGTGGATCGCTTGGGTCTACTGTTATGCGGGGACGGGGGGACTGGTATATTTGAGGCCATCTTTAGGTTTTTTGTAGAAGGCATGACTAACACATACTCCTTTCCCTATTTGGAACCAGACATGCAGATGACACCACCCTTATGGCAGAAAGTGAAGAAGAACTAAAGAACCTCTTGATGAAAGTGAAAGAGGAGAGTGAAAAAGTTGGCTTAAAGCTCAACATTCAGAAAACTAAGATCATGGCATCTGGTCCCATCACTTCATGGGAAATAGATGGGGAAACAGTGGAAACAGTGTCAGACTTTATTTTTTTGGGCTCCAAAATCACTGCAGATGGTGATTGCAGCCATGAAATTAAAAGACGCTTACTCCTTGGAAGGAAAGTTATGACCAACCTAGACAGCATATTAAAAAGCAGAGACATTACTTTGCCAACAAAGGTCCGTCTAGTCAAGGCTATGGTTTTTCCAGTGGTCATGTATGGATGTGAGAGTTGGACTATAAAGAAAGCTGAGCACTAAAGACTTGATGCTTTTGAACTGTGGTGTTGGAAAAGACTCTTGAGAGTCCCTTGGACTACAAAGAGATCCAACCAGTCCCTCCTAAAGGACATCAGTCCTGGGTATTCACTGGAAGGACTGATGCTGAAGCTGAAACTCTAATACTTTGTCTATGTGAAGAACTGACTCACTGGAAAAGACCCTGATGCTAGGGAAGATTAAAGGTGGGAGGAGAAGGGGACAACAGTGGATGAGATGGTTGGATGGCATCACTGACTCAATGGACATGAGTTTGAGTAAACTCTGGAAGTTGGTGATGGACAGGGAGGGCTGGCATGCTGCAGTCCATGGGGTCACAAAGAGTCAGACACGACTGAGCGACTGAACTGAACTGAACACATACAATAAAAAGCAAAACGTGAACCACTTCTAAAAAGAAAGAAGCATCACCAGGACAGATCAAAAGGGGAGAGCTTTCCTTCCATTGGGAGAAGAAAGGAAGTTTTCATGGCAGAGACATGGTGATGGAACTTGGCCAGTGAATTTGAATAATGAGAAAAGGCTGGAAAGAAACAAAATTAGGCAGAATTCCAGAGAGAAGGCAGCCTACTGGAAGTGGAGGGGCATCTCCTACTTGTGCTCTCACTAAGGATCCCACACATAGGTGTGTTTATTTGCAGGTGCCTGTGTGTCTGGGCTCAGATGTCTGATACCAAGATGGCCCCATGTTCTGGAATGTGCTCTGGATGATGACACCTCATGCTAGCTCATCTCCATTGGCCAGATTTCCGTGGTATCAGTAACTAGTTCTCTTGGGAGCTGTCCTCAGGCTCTTATTCACTTAATTAACTACTAACTTTCTTCTGTAGCAAGCACTAGCTAAATTACAAGTGAATCTAAACTGTCCATTTGCAAGCTTGGCAAAAGGACACCAATACCCACCCCCCAACACATGGATTTCATTAAATGCGAAAGATGGAAGCCAATACACCAGTGAGGGAGGGAGAGGTTCTTTATTTTGTCCAATACCCTTCCAGAAGGCACTCTCCCTTTGGCTTGGCAGCTGACCACATATGTCAGGGTCTCCACACTGTGACAGCCAGGCCAAGTGACTGACCCTGTCTACAGCAGCCCAGTTCTGGGCAAGGTGCCTTGAGAAAGCATCATCTTCATGACCTATGACCCAATTAGAAAAGACAACTGGGGACAATTCGATACATGTCCTGGGAATATGGAGTGACAAACTGAGCCATTTTCTGAAGAAGCAGGGTCAAGAATGTATTGATATTTTATTTGGAGACTGGAGCTATGGAGCCAGCAGTTGTGTGCCCTTCACAGCACTATGGTGGTACCCAGGGCTTCCCCAATAGCTCAGTGGTAAAGAATCTGCCTGCAATGCAGGAGACACAAGAGATGCTGGCTCAATCCCTAGATTGGGAAGATCCCCTGGAGGAGGAAATCGCAAACCACTCCAGTATTATTGCCTGAAAAATCCTATGGACAGAGGTACCTGGTGGGCTATAGTCCAAAGAGTCACAACATGACTGAGCAAACATGCATACAAGGTGGTACCCCAGAGGGATGGGAGAGGCGCGCATGAAGATGGAGAGGAAGCAGCAGCCCTCTGACCTCTGTGAGGAAGCAGGCATTGCTTGGACCCCTGGTCACATCTCCTTGGTTCCCACTTTCCCAGGTGGCCTGGCTGCAAGGAGTTCTCACTCTTAGGACCTGGAACCTTGTAGAAGCTCCCCATCTCTCATCTTAATCTTAACTCTACTGGAAGATATTTCTATTCCCCCTTGCAGAAGACAATATGCAAGCGGTGAAAATCACCCGGGACCCAGCGAGGGGAGAGACGACTGCTGTCTAGTTTCTCATTTCCTTTGAAGGATAATTCTGTGTTTGTTTCTTTGCCAATCATGGTCTTAGTCATCGTAAGCCCATGAAAATTCATCTTTTCCCCATTTCCCCAAGCTAACAGGAAACAGACGATTACCAAACTGACAAAGGAAAGTGGATTTATTTGGCTCAAAAGCCAGAATTTATTTCCTATAAGTATTAGGAGCAGAACTGCTGAACTTGAAAAGGCCTCATTTCTAATAAACAAGCAGGTTTTAATAAACGGCTCAGAAAGAACCACGGGGACTTTCGGTCTAGAAGCAGAGGGTAACATCTGGAAACAGGAAATGAGGCCAGAGGGAAGAAAACTGCAAGAAGAATCAGGCATCCGAGGTAGCTTCGAGAGCTTTATGACAATTGTAATTAAATCCTTTCTGTCTCAAAAAAAGAATGTGAAAGAGATGAGTAGCTGTTATCTTTTTAAACTGGAAAAATTTTAATATGTACCCCCAAAAAACAACAAGAGGAAAAAAAACAAAATAGTATAGAGAAGAGGTAACAGGCACTTACTCTTTTAACTGAGCTTCTGAACGCCCGAAACAGATAGGGGCTCAGTGACTGGGAATTCACTTTTGCCACAGAGGCGCTGAGAGCCTCCTTCAGGGAAGCCTGGTCATAGTCATACACCGGGAAACCTGGGCACACAAGCACACGGGAACCCAGTGAGTCAGGATGCAGGGTCCAGACGGAGCTACATCATCAAGGGCAGGCAGCCCTGGGCCCCAAGCTCCGTACCTGTACAGGTCCAGTGATTCATTCCAAGGACAAATATCACCAACATCTTCATCGCCATCTTCTCCATTCTGGGAAGAACAATTTCAGTGCAGAGACAGGGAGATTGTCTCTGTGCCTTTGGGGCTAACCAGTTGTCTTGAAAGCAGCTGTTTATCAGCTGGCTTGGTCTCTCCAACTGGAGCAGACGACGGCTTCAACAGAGACACCAATTGATTCTGGGATCAATATTTACTTCTGGCTTTTCCAACGGACAAGGTCCAGTTGGAGGCCACTTTTGAAGTTTGGACCTCAACATGGGACTTCAGCCCACCGCAAAAGCCATCAAGAGGCGGGGACTCCACATGCACTTTGTTTTTCTCTATTTTAATTTCACCCAGATGGACTGTCTATTTCTCTTTATTTCATTTCATTTTTAGAAGGAGAGATGTAATCTTACTTTCAACAAAATGGTTAATTTTTTTAATTTATTTATTTGTAATTGAAGGATAACTGCTTTACAATATTGTTCTGGTTTCTGCCATACATCACTGTGGGTCAGCCGTAGGTATACATATGTTCCCTCCCTCTTGAGACTCTGTCCCACTTCCCTTTCCTTCCCATACCTCCAGGTTGTTACAGAGCCCCAGTTTGCATTCCCTGGGTCACACAGCAAATTCCCATTGGCTGTCTATTTTACACATGGTGGTATATATGTTTCCATTCTACTCTCTCCATTCACCCCACCCTCTCCTTCCCCCCAGCCATGCCCATAAGTCTGTTCTCTATGTTTGCATCTCCACAAAGTGGTTAATTTTAAAATGTTATCTGTTTCGTTTGGCCCCAAGCTCCGTACCTGTACAGGTCCAGTGATTCATTCCAAGGACAAATATCACCAACATCTTCATCGCCATCTTCTCCATTCTGGGAAGAACAATTTCAGTGCAGAGACAGGGAGATTGTCTCTGTGCCTTTGGGGCTAAACAGTTGTCTTGAAAGCAGCTGTTTATCAGCTGGCTTGGTCTCTCCAACTGGAGCAGACGACGGCTTCAACAGAGACACCAATTGATTCTGGGATCAATATTTACTTCTGGCTTTTCCAACGGACAAGGTCCAGTTGGAGGCCACTTTTGAAGTTTGGACCTCAACATGGGACTTCAGCCCACCGCAAAAGCCATCAAGAGGCGGGGACTCCACATGCACTTTGTTTTTCTCTATTTTAATTTCACCCAGATGGACTGTCTATTTCTCTTTATTTCATTTCATTTTTAGAAGGAGAGATGTAATCTTACTTTCAACAAAATGGTTAATTTTTTTAATTTATTTATTTGTAATTGAAGGATAACTGCTTTACAATATTGTTCTGGTTTCTGCCATACATCACTGTGGGTCAGCCGTAGGTATACATATGTTCCCTCCCTCTTGAGACTCTGTCCCACTTCCCTTTCCTTCCCATACCTCCAGGTTGTTACAGAGCCCCAGTTTGCATTCCCTGGGTCACACAGCAAATTCCCATTGGCTGTCTATTTTACACATGGTGGTATATATGTTTCCATTCTACTCTCTCCATTCACCCCACCCTCTCCTTCCCCCCAGCCATGCCCATAAGTCTGTTCTCTATGTTTGCATCTCCACAAAGTGGTTAATTTTAAAATGTTATCTGTTTCGTTCCCTCTCATATTTCTAAAGATGACTGTTCATAAAAAAATGTGTGGTTATTTCACAATCTCACTGGAAATTGTGACTTTAAAGGAGAGAATTTAACCTGCAGAATTTAAATATGCCAAGCAAGTTCACATGCAATAAAAAGCAGTGATGTGCCTTCATGTCCACCAAACTTCTCTGCTAATGGTTGTTTTCGCATCTCGCCTGGATAACAAGGTATTTGCATGCTGATGAGTTTCATGCACTATAAGATTCCAAGGTAGTTTGTGAATCATTAAAAAGAAGAGACTCTTTACAGTAAATACATGTTGTGTTACTTGTAATTCATGGTATTCTCAGTCCTTGAATTCATCTTTAGAAGCTGTACTGTTCTGGGGCTCAGAAACACCTGGACCGGAATCCTGGTTCCATGCTTGTCAGACATGTATGCTCGGGAATGGTACTCAGCACCTCTGAACCTCAACTTCTTCATCCATAAAATGGGCATAAATGTTTAGATGTAAACGCGTGTTATTATTTAGGAAGGCACAGAGAGAGATTTATTCTAGGTAGTTGACTCATGCAATGGTGGGAGTGTTGCAAGTTCAAAATCTGCAGGATGGGTGGCAGGCTAAAGACCTAGGAAAGTTACAGCTCGACTCCAAAAGCCATCTATTGCCACAATTCCTTCCTGCTCATGGGGAGATCAGTCTTTGTTTATTCAGGCCTTCAATTGATTGGATGAGGCCCACACACAATACAGAGAGTAATCTGCCTTCTTCAGAGTCCACTGATTTAAGAGTTAATCTCACTAAAAATTATCACAGAAACATCCATAATAATGCTTGACCAAATATCTGGGCGCCATGGCCAAGGTGACACATAAAATTAATCATCAGATAAAAATTAAATAACAAACTCTAGGGAGAATGCTTGGCAAATTATTTGCTTGATAAATAAGAACTGCTGGCAAGAATTTAATTCAATAAATATTTTTTAGAATCTGCTATGTAAAAGGCAAGAAGTCCAGAGAACATCTAAATAAATGAATCATCTAGCTCACCCTGCTTCAACAAGGCACGTGTCAGTGCCAACAAGCATAAATTGCTATGAGAGTTCTTGGAGATACTGGGGTCTTTGCAATTTGCTCAGTCTTCCTGACTCTGGTTCCCAGGTGGTCACGTGTTGCTTTGGTTGACAGATGCAGAAGTATCCCAACAGGAGAGATGGAGACTCAGAACAGGAAGAAAAAGAACAGACAGGAAACCATGGGGAGAAGGCTGCAGCCATTTTCCAAGGATGTGACTGATGTGGGGAGGTGATGTTTGCCAGAGTCAGGCCGGGCCTTGTTACCAACACAGAGGAGGAAAAGAGGTGGGAGGACAGGGAAGAAGAGATGCTGGGTAGATTCAACACGAAAGATGTGCCTTAAAGGGAAAAAGTGCGGCAATACAAAATTTTAATTGTTGCTACTACACAAGCCAACTTCATTAATCAAAATGTTGCCTCTGCTTTCCCTGCCCTCTGCACAAAAGGTTAAACTCATGCTTCTGACTTTACCTACAGTCTGGATCATGAATATTTAGTGCTCTCACCCAAAAGGTGTTCTTCTTATAAGTCTTATTCATCAGCACACTGGCACAAAGCCTGTGTCTAAAATCCCCAGAAAATCCCAATGCCTAAATACCCATTGCCGCCCACCCTCCCCACACACACATCATCCTTGGGTCCCCCAGCTCCTGGCCTCATGTTGGGCCGTTCTCCTTCCTGCACTAGGCTCCAGCCACCCAGGTATCCTTGAATTTCCTCAAGGACAAGCGACTTCCATTCCTTGACCTTGGCTTGTTCTATTCCTTCCAACAGGACATGGACATTTCTCTTGCTTCCTCACCTGCACATCCTCCCATCATTTGGGTTTCAGCTTAAATAACGCCACCCCGGAGAGCTTCTCTAACCACCCACCTGATCATCACGCATCCTCTCCCCCTACTTCAGCCCTCTGCTTCTTCCCTCCTAGCACTTAACAAAAGGGGCAGTAATTTTGCTTGTTTGCTTGATATTTTCTTTCTCCTGTAGTAGACTATGAGCTTCCCTGATAGTTCATTTGGTGAAAAATCTGCCCGCAATGCAGTACATCCTGGTTCAATTCCTGGGTTGGAAAGATCTGCTGGAGAAGGGATAGACTACCAACATCAGTATTCATGTGCTTCCCCTGTGGCTCAGCTGGTAAAGAATCTGCTCACAATGCAGGAGACCTGGGCTCTATCCCTAGGTTGGGAAGACCCCTTGGAGAAGGGAAGGGCTACTCTCTCCACTTTCCTGGCCTGGCGAATTCCATGGACTACAGTTCACGGGTTCGCAAAGAGTCAGTCACTACTAAGCAACTTTCACTTTCACTTTCATAGTAGACTGTAAGTTCCATAGGGCAGGATCCATGCCTGTCTTGTTGATGTCAAAGTGCAGCACTCAAATAGGAACATGATTAAATATTTGTTGAACAAATGCGTAAATGAATGAATGAGTGAGTGACCACCCTTGGTCTCTCTGAACCTCAATCCCAGTCTTTCTGTTTGAAGCCTGCACGGATTTTGGTGCATAAAACGTACACAAAACAATGCCCTATGAGATAATGACTGCTAAGGTTTGTGATTCTGTTACTCTTAACCTGGTTACTCTTAACCTGGTTTGAACTCAACTCTATTATGGCCTTCCAGATTTAACTAACTGCACCATCTGGCTCCAAACTCCAGGGTCTCATTAAATGAGCAGTGATAATAAAAGTAATTGCAAAAGAGTAGAGGAGATTAGGGAGACAACAATAAAACAACGTTGCCAGCACAGGGCTATTGATTTTGTTTGTCGCCTGCTGGTGCAGAGGATAAATCATTTTATTTCTCAGATTCATTTGGTTATAATAAACATTGTCACCGTGCATGCAGGGCAGCCACTGATTAGTGCTAAAGAGCGATTACTACTAAAAATGTCTCTGCAGAGTTACATCATGTCTGGTAAACCTAGAAGATTAAATAGAAGCCAACCACTGAAATTAGAGTAAAGATTTCTTTCATTATTCTTTTCCTGATTGGCAGAAATGTACACAGCGATAATTTCAGCCGTCTCCTGCTGTTCCAAAAAAAATTATTTAGTTAAGGTATTAAAAGTTCTGTGTCACTAAGGGAAGAGTAAAGTGTAACTTTTCTTATGTGGCCTCTGGAAATTTATATAAAACTTATCATCGGAAGCTTAATGAGCAATTTGGAAAAAAAAAATTGAATACAGATGTATGACATCCATCATAGACTAATAAGATTCATTGCTATTACCTTTATCATTTCTCTTGAGACAGTTTCTTTTCATTGTGGTCATCCTTACAGTAATATTATTTGAGAAAAATCACTAAATTTAGAGCAAGCATAAACCATGTGTGTACATGCTAAGTTGCTTCAATCATGTTCAACTGCTTGTGACTCCATGGACTATAGCTCACCAGGCTTCTCTGTCCATGGGATTCTCCAAGCAAGAATATTGGAGTGCATTGCCATGCCCTACTCCAGGGGATCTTCCTGACCCAGGGATCGA